CGCAAGTCTTTACAAGTCAATTGGTGCAAGTCCAAGTGAAAGTCAGAGTCATTGATGTTAAAGTCCAAGTCGAGTCGCAAGTCTTTTTATATTTAGTCAAGTCGAGTCTAAAGTCATCAAAATCATGACTCGAGTCTGACTCGAGTCCAAGTCACATGACTCGAGTCCACACCTCTGGACAATAGTACATGTTATAGATGGACAGACTCCCATTATTTACAGTTTATGGGGAGAAAAAAATGTGGAACATAACAGTTAAGTGACTTTATGTTCAAACCAAAAGCTACTGTATATCAACTCCACGCAACAGCATCACAAGCTACATTTAGTTTGTATATATATATTTGGTGAAAGTAACTTCAAAGTAGTACAGTAGTAGAGTAAGGATTTACAATTCAGAGACAGTAATTTTGTAGTGTGACACATAACTTTGAACTAACAGTCACATATAAGGCAAGGCAAGTTTATTTGTATAGCACAATTCATACTTAAGGCAACTCAAAGTGCTGAACAAAATAAGAAAGCATTAAAATCATAAATAATCCCAGTACATTAAAAAGAAAGATAAAAATATAAAATATAAAATTCCTCAGTTGTATGCACAGCTAAACAGAACTGTTTTCAACCTTGTCTTAAACATTGTCAGAGAGGAGGCCTGTCTCATCTTCAGGAAGATTGTTCCAGATTTTAGCATGAATCTGAAAAGCAGCCTCCCCATGTTTAGTTCTGACTCTGGGCACTAACAGGAGTCCAGTCCCTGTGCTCCTCAGAGTCCATGGAGAGACTTGTACACAAGCAGAGCTGTTTTAAAGTCTCTTCTCTGAGCCACAGGAAGCCAGTGTAGAGACCTGAGGACTGGACTAATGTGGTCGTACTTCCTGGTTCTCGAGCTGCTGCATTTTGAATGTACTGCAGCTGTTTTACAGCCTGTTTGGACAGACCTGTGAGCAGGCCATTGCAGTAGTCTAACCTACTGGAGACAAATGCATGGATAAGAATCTCCAAGTCTGCTTTAGACACTATGTTTTTGATCCTGGCAATGTTTTTTAGATGGTAAAAAGCTGCTGATGTTACTGATTTGATGTGGCTATTAAAATTTAAGTCTGAGTCCAGTATTACCCCTAGATTTCTGACCTTGTTTGAAGGTTTTAGGGAGAGAGACTGTAGATGACAGATGACGCTCTCTCTTTGTTTCTGGGGACCAAAATCAATCATTTCAGTTTTGTCTGCGTTTAGCTGAAGGAAGTTGTTTTGCCTCCACTTACTGATCTGGTGGATACAGTGAAGGAGTGAGTCCACTGGTCCATGTTCTCCTGCAGTCAGTGAGACATACTGTAGATCTGAGTGTCGTCTGCATAGTTGTGATAGGACACTTTGTTTCTGCGTATTAACTGACCTAACGGCAGCATGTAGAGATTGAACAGAAGAGGTCCCAGGATCGACCCCTGTGGTACTCCACAGGTCAGGGCCATATGATCTGAGACACAGTTTTTCAAGGTAAGACCTAAACCAACTTAGGGCGGTGCCAACAACACCAACCCAGTCCTCTAGTCTCTGTAAGAGGATTTCATGGTCGACAGTGTCAAAAGCTGCACTCAAATCTAACGAAATTAAGATTGAGACTTTGCCTGCGTCATTGTTTTGCCGGATATCGTTTGTCACCTTGACGAGAGCAGTCTCAGTGCTCTCGCTAAATGTATTAGATAATGTGTGACGTTTTTTAAGTAACTTGCCCAACACTGTCAAGTTTTAGTAGCTATAGGACACTTGTTTATTGTCTTACTAGATGAAGGTGAATGAGTCATGGAAGCTAACGGTTAAACTGTTAAACTCCTCGTCATTAAATCCTGCTGTGTCCAGTTAAAACAATCATCTCTCTGCTACATTACAATATGAAAACTTGCGTCTTATATTCCACTGCAGCCTATATGTGGACAACACTGACTTTCTTTTAAAAACTTTGCTGGTGCGGCTTATATACAGGTGCATTTCACCCATCCTTGGTCCCCATCCTGGTCCCAATGACACAAGGGCAAATGCCGGCAATTTTTTTCTTTGGGGGGCCACAATTGAGATATTGCCCTATTGTGGAGGGCAGGACCCAATTTCATGTGGTTAATTTTGTATTCTCTCTAGCCAGAAAACCAACTTCAATAAGCGTCTAAGCCTCAAACAAAAGAAGGAAAAATAAAATTTTTGGATTTATATTTAGTTTATATTTAACACACATGGAAATATTCAGTGTTTCTTTGTGGCCATTTTGTTTAGAGCAAATTATGACTGAAAACATTTTGGATTCATTCATGAGAACAGAACATGGTAGCATAGGGGTCGCGTAGTAATGTAAATCGGGCCGCATATGGTCCCCTAGCCGTACTTTGCATAGGTCTGAACTAGGACATTAGGGTTCGGGTTAGGCTGGGTTCTTCATTCATTCAAATGTGCAGCGTTTTTGAATGCGTTGATGACTCATTTTTGTCTTACAGCTATGTTTCAGAGTCGTCTCAGAGGTGCTTGTTGAGAGGAAGTGGTGTGGGGGGGAAACCAAATAAAACAGGAAATCCGACACTGGAACAAGTGGCATCAAAATATGACAATTGTATAAATGTGTGCGCTCAAGCAACATCTGTGTGTGTGTGTGTGTGTGTGTCTGCATTGATACATTACTCTAGTGGTTGCACACATTTGAGAGTATAATATTTAAATCGCTGTTTCAAACACAAGAAATGTATTGATAAAAAACACACAAAGCCATTGGTCCATAAGGAGCAGATGAGTGTCCTGGATCATCACCATTGTCCTTAGACTAGGCACGTTCAAACTCAGGCACGCAGGCCAATTGTGTCATTTATTGTGGCCTTCTACTGCTAACACAAAGACCCCATTGAGGTACCTTGACAGTGTCATCCAACCAACTTCAAATCCAGTTTTTTAAAACCAGGTTGTCGGCCCCAGATCAAGTCTGATGAATAAAAGTGGCCCTCTTGCTAAAACGTTTGGACACCTCTGCCTTAGATCCTCCTGAATCAGCAAGGAAAAACTCATTTTAAAAACCCAGTGGGAGATAAGTGAGAAACATTGAGGAAGGGGCCTGCTCTCTTCCTGGTGTGGTACATGGAACATTACATTTGTTGTAAGTAGTTGAATGATGCAAAAAAAGTTTTCGCTCTAAACATCCCCATATTGAGTTCACCATTAAATTAAAAGTTGCCCCTGTTGCTAATACAAAGTGGACTGTGGATAAGCCTGTACCATAGACATGCTCGAGCACAGCCCCTCACTCCCTCACATCAAAGCCCGCTCCCATCCACCATGTTAATTTGTGTGTGATTGATAAGTAGACTTCACAGGCGATTGCAAAATGTCGCCTGAAAAATGTTACATGGGGGCATCTTTTTGAAATCAGCTTTACAAGTGCGGCTAGAGAAATCACCAGCGGGCCCATTACCAAAATAAATAAATAAACTACAGCGTGTGCATAAGCTGTCACACGTTACAAATAAGATTACCTTTCGGAGTGTGCCCGGGAACTTGTAGATGCACCAAAATAGCTCAGATCTCTTGGTTTTTTATCAGCGAGCCAGATCTGAGTGCTGCTTATTCTCCTCCGTGCACAGAGCAAGCAGAAGAAGAAGGCGAAACAGACACATTTGAAGCTTGGAGCACAATGTAATCAGCCGTGCTAAGGTATATTGAGTTTATGAAAGATTGGAGATTAGTTTGGAGTTCCTTTTGGAAAAGTGCCATCTTTAAATATCAGAGGATGATAAAGAAAATGGGAGCTGAACTCGAATAAAATGTCTTGAAATCAGAAACATCTTGATTTGAGGTGTCTTTATTTCTATAATTACCAGGGGTGTTTTTTTTTTTAGCTGCAAGATAAATATCTCAGTAAACATGAAGACCTTTTAGGCAAAAAAGTGTAGAGTAGTAAAATAGCATGTTTTCCAATTCAATTCAACTTTCATATAGTAAACCATTTAAATGTGAAACCAGACTTTTTTTTTTCTTTCTGAAGTTTAAGTTTTAGAAAATTTGACGGAAACCATCATGTCAGTTACACATTTTTCAAGGGTCATTTACATTTGTATTGATTTTTTTTTTCTATCTTGAGGCAGTTCATCTGATGATTTGTCACTGATGACCTTTTATTTTTATGTAACTATAACAGAGAAAGTATTGATATCAAAGATCCACCTTTTCTCTTTGATATGTCTGTGTTGTTTGTTTTACCAATCTATGATAGCAAATTTAGTTTTTGAGTTATAACCTTTTAAAAAGTCCAGACTCTATAACAGCCACTTTACTGTGAACACACCCAGGACGTTACAAAACCATCAAATTCGTCAACACAAGAAACAGTTGTACCCGAAAGTAAAATGTTGTGAGCAAATCAAACAGATTTAATGACATTCTGAATTTCAGACTTTATTTGAAATGTCCTTCATCCCTGTAACAAACAATAGTTTTGTCTGAGTCCACTACAGAAAGACAGAATGTTAGTAATGTTAAAGCCATTGTATGTGGATTTATTGTTGTTATAAAAAACAAATACAGTGCATGTGTACACGATGTTGTCATTTATCTTTCCATTCAAACAAGCATTTACAGAAAAATATAGCATAATTTTGCCGATAGCTAGAAATGCGATTAATTACGATAATACATTTTTAAGCTATTATTAACTCGATTTTTTTCGTTTCGTAACTCGTTTTAAATGGATTCGTAACTCGTTTTAAATGGATTAATAATGTGTAAATATTGATTTAAATTGCGATGCTAATATCTTACTTACAAGAGTAAGTATTTCAAGGACAATGCTTGGGCTGGATCTAATGCTACACTGTTCAATAAAGGTATTCAGTGTACTGCAACTAAATACATTGATTATAAACCGTTTTGTTTGCATCAGTCACATCATATTTAGGCCCCTGGTGATGCATACAGTTAGTCATGGTGGCTCACTTCTTTCCCACATGAAGTAGACAACAGCAGATCAAATGCAGTGGAGAGTTATGCAGCCTGTGGAAATTCAGTCTGGTAGGCTATCTGCTGCAGCCCATCACAGCCGGCCCCTTTCACCCTCGGCCAATCACACAGCGCTGCCAACCTTATGCCATAAGGCCAAGGTACTGGAATCATCAACATGTAGAATTTTTATTCGCCTATTGATACTGTAGCAGCATAGATTCTCAGTTCAACGAGTGGAGCCAAACAAAACCAGTCTCCCCATCTCCCCATCCCGTCCCTGGGTGCCTGGTCCACTGCTTATGTCCCGGGGATTATAAACAGCACACAAGAAATGATCTTCACACACAAAGTGCAGTTAACAAACAAATAAATAATAATTCATCATTTTGTGTAAATGTGTCTGTACAGTCTCTCCAAAGTGAATTGAATCTTCCTGAAAATGTGAGACAAGGATCGAATCTGGCAGTTTTCAAATCAAATCTCTTTTTACTGCACTGTGGCTATTTGTGGTTTTAATACCATGTGTGATTTTAGTGTTTTAAGGTTTTTAATGACTTGTGTGATTTCATTATCTGTGTTTTTTAATATTATTAATGTATTAATTAATGTTTATGTAGTTTTTAATGTTTAGGATTTATGCCTGATGTGATATGGGTTGTGATTCGCTTTGTGTTGCCTTTTGTGGGAAGGCGCTCTACAAATAAAAGGTGATTGATTGATTGTAGCCGTGTGAACTTCCTCTTGAATGGATGTAATCGTATTATGTCTCTAAAACAGTGTAAGAGCCGTCACGTACGACTGCCCTAACACTGAACCCTGAATCAAAGTCACTCTGATCTCTCACTTTTCATCTGAAATGAGGATCCAAAGCCTGATGTGCATTTTAATTCAGGATGCCGACTCTCTAGGCATGAAGTCTTTTTTGTTGGGCGATATATACTTTTATGCGCTTTCATATGGATTTAAATTTAGAGAGGAGATGTTACACCTGAAGCTGGATAAATCTCTATACGTTCTCTGTTCATTATAAAATGGCAACGTTTTATGATGTATTTCTGGTGCATTCCACCCACAATGATATACCTAAAGATAATAATCATATAAGTTTAATAATCATTTATGGCTTAGTTCACAGCAAGTGACATTGTCCTTAATTTTGTAATTGTTTTCCTAATTTATACAACTTTTAATCTGGATTTGAACACTTTAAAGTGGTAAGAAATGCTTAAAAAATGTACAGTGAAAAAAACGTATGAATCTGTTTTTTTATTATATAAACATATTAAAAACATTGAATTGTTTGTTAAAAAAAAAAACAAAACATGAGCTTCTGACCACCCCCTGAACTCAAGACAGTCAAACCTTTCATATCAAAATAATAGTGTCATTATGACGATCAATATCAATACTATAATGAGACTATTATACAAAGAGTTCATTAGTGTAAAACTATTATTTATGCTTACAACAGGAAGTGTCATTCCCCAGAAAAATTCCACTTACATTTACAAATAACAGAGCACACTGATTTGTTCTCAGATATATGATAAAATACCTCAAATGCATTCTAATTACCATTTTTTCAAACATGTCAAACAAAGCCAGTCCCAAAGCACCTCCTGCTATTAATATTATTATTATATATTATTTTAAAACGACAAGAAACTTTTTGCAATCCACCAAAAGTAAAAGTTCTAAATACATGTGTATCATCAACATGTAGGAGTTTTACAACCCTATTAATAATGTAGCAGCATACATTCTCAGCCCAACATGTGGAGCCAAACAAAGCCAGTCTCCCCATCTCCCCATCCCGTCCCTGGTGCCTGTTCCACCGGTTATGCACATGTTCTGCACCTCTCCGGGGGTGATCCCATAGATCCAGTGGCTCGCTGCCTTACATGGGCAAACCTCGGAACTCGGTCTGGAATTTCACGCTCTGACGTCACGCCGCACGCCTCTCTCTCTCAGTCCCACTATTTTTTGGACCAAGAAACTTTTTCAACACTACTATTTTGGTGGGATTTTTGCAGCCCTTCTCCAAGATTGAGTCTTAGAAAGTGAGGTGAGTGGATTATTTCCTTATATAATGCAGATGTTTTTGGAACAATACCATACAGTTTAGTTCCACCGTGTAGCATTGCTTGGTATTTCTGATCCATGTGGCCTTGTGAGAATGCATTCTGTTATGTGCTTTTACTGTATAGCTTCCCTTTGGTTCACAGCGAGGGCGTGGGCTGCATAGTTAGTTAGCGGCGCGTGCTCGGCTAAAGTTTCAAAGCACGTAACTTTAACAGGCTACCTAGCTACAGCCAAAAGACCGCTGACAACATTTGACAACGTGTATGTTGGGCTTTGCTGGATGGAAGTAAGGTAAAGTCTAGTAGTAGCTTGCGCCTGTTTTTAGCTGAGCAATGCGGAAGCGGTGCTGTCAGAAACCCCCCAGTATCCCTCCCCTTGTCTAGCTATAGCAGTGCCACCTATGCAAAACGCCAATAGTGAAACTGAAGCTAACTTTCGCATAGTTAGCTACTGTTTTGGGCCTTGTTTAAAGCAGTGTGTTTCAACCAGTGTGCCGTGGTACGCTAGTGTGCCTTGAGATGTTATATTGTGTGCCTTGAGAAATTATCCAATATCACCAAATAATGTGGAATCAAAAATGAATTAGACGATTAGATATACTTGGGCTGAGTAGATGGCACTCTCGCCTCTCAGCAAGAAGGTCCTGGGTTCGAATCCCAGTCGGACCAGGGCCTTTCTGAGTGGAGTTTGCATGTTCTCCCTGTGTCTGCGTAGGTTTCCCCCGGGTACTCCGGTTTCCCCTACCACTAAAAACATGTACAATAGGTCTGGCATGCGCCTCTTGTACTGGTGACCCCGCTCCCATCTATGTGAGGAGTGAGAGACAAATGCCCATAAAAATAACAATTGTAAACCGCTTTGTGAAAGGTGGTATAAATAAAGATTACTTACTTACTTCTTTGCACTTCTTTGATTATCCAGATAATACACTTTGTTGAGAATGACTTTGTTATATGTTTGTATCCGTTTCAATTGGTGGTGTGTGCCATCTGATTGTTTTAAATGAAAAAGGTGTGCCATGGCTCAAAAAGGTTGGAGAACACTGGCTTAAAGAAAGTTATGAACGTTGTTTACATGTTATTAGCTTCACGAAATAGCCACATTGTGTTGCCACAGAGCCTGGGTTTTTCGTTAACGGCGTAATACATATTTAATTACGTTATGAGGCAAGGCAAGTTTTTTTGTATAGCACAATTCATACACAAGGCAACTCAAAATGCTATCACATAAGACGATCATTAAATTGTAAATAATCACAGTGCATTAAAAAGATAGATATCAATATATAGCCCCTCAGTTGTATGAATGTTTTATCCCTCTTTAATGCATTGTTATTTATTATTTTAATGACTTTAATTGATTATAACATTTTCATGGTTTTAAGTACATGTTTTTAATTACCTGTGTGATTTGAATGGTGTTTTGTGTGATGATTTGTGCCTTGTATGATATGAACTTGTCACATAGTGATTTCATTTCTTCTGTTGTATTGTACCTCACAAACATGTATTAATAAATAGCAGCATTATTTTATAAACTAACCAACTGAATACGTATATATTGGCTCGTATCTCTGCAGCTTAAGGTATATGACAAGAGCAAAGTGAGTTTATTTCACTTGCTTCAATGCAGAACAACACAAAAATATGCCATAATATTGCACAAATCAGTGCAGGTATACAAATGATTTAAATCTGGAGAGACTTGAACAGACACAACATGGGTATTAGAGTTGGATGTTGTTTGGCAAGTAATCTGACACTACATAAATTACACATGTATGACACTGAGGACAATATTATCAAGATTACATTTATTGTTCTGTACAGAATGTGGTTAGTAATTGGCGCTTAGGGGGAAAGAGATGAGAGGAAATCCCCTGGGGCCTAGACCCTGGTGGTGGTAGCTAAGAGAAGGATGAAAGAGCTGGCCAAGAACAAGGCGGAGATGGGGAGGAGGAAGTTGCGGTGTAAATGAAGCTGCTGCTTGGATGGAGCTTCTGCACGTTATGAAGTTTGGATTTGCGTGTGGCGTTGAGTGTGATTGACTGATTGCGAACTTTGAGCGCTGTGAGCTTAGTTCTCCTATCTTCCATTCTGAATTTTGACTTTAGCTTCATAATCGTCACATAAATCAAAAACATCATACTAGTAAAAGGCAACAGTTAAGAAACAGCATTTAAACAACAAGCAACAAAGTACATACAATGTCTAAAGTGCTAGTGAGATGCAGAATAAGAAAATACAGTGAATGAACACGCCTATACGAAGTGAAAAACAAATGCAGATGGCAAATTTAAAGTGCTTTTTACAGGATAGAACTTTTTATGGGGTAAGGTTACTGTCAATAAAGACGTGCATGTCTAAAAGAAATGCGTGCATATTTATTGGTATTTGTGCATAAAAATATTTTATTAATTCATGATTAAGATAATACAAACTAAAAAGACATGGAATTTTGTAATTAAGAATAAAAATATATAAAACTATGTGTGATTTTGTTTTTGTGAATGCAATTTTTTTGTGTGTTTGCATTTTCTTTTTGAGAATACGAATTTCAGCAGTGAGCAAACTGTCAGTATGACGTCACTGCTCACAGACATTAACAATCAAGCTGCGCAGAGTTGATCAACTTCATTGCCCCAAAACTAAACATGGCAGAGGGACACAACATTAATAAAGTGGCTCAAAATCAGGTATATAACTATATTTGATCATTTTGGTCATAAATGAATGTGTAAGAAATATTAATTCCATAAATGTGTTCATAAGAAGATGTTTCTTGTCCCTCTAAAGGTTTTTTGGCAGTGTTGTTAGCTCCAATGCTAGTTTTATTTTCTTATCCATATATTGTTTTATTCTACAGAAATTAATGCATTTATTTTAGTCTAAACAACTAAACAACAGACTAACTAGCATTACTGAACTAGTGAGTAAAAGTAATGTGTCAAATGTACAAATATAAGATTGAGGTCCACAGGGACAGGGTCTGCTCCGTCTAACAACCGAGGATGAGTATTGCTCAGGGGCAGTAACAGCGCGAAATATGAATAATCTGGAGGGTTGGGGCTGGTATCAACACATTAATCACATTGATTTGGGGCAAAGGCTTCATAAAATGTAAATGCTAAGAATATTAAATTGTTGGTTTTAAAATAACATGGTAAGCTGTAAAACTAGCATTGAAGCTAGTGTTAACTAAACACTGCCTAAAAAAACGTTTCTAGAAAGGGACAAGAAACATCTTATGAACACATTTTATGGAATTAATATTTCTTACACATTTATTTACGACCAAAATGATCAAATATAGTTATATACCTGATTTTGAGCCAAATTGTTAATGTTGTTGGCCTCTGCCATGATCAACTCTGCGCAGCTCGATTGTTAATGTCTGTGAGCAGTGACGTCATATTGACAGTTTGCTCACTGCTGAAATTTGTATTCTCAAAAAGAAAATGCAAGCACAAAAAAAAAATCGTATTCACAAGTACGAAATCACACATACAGTTTTATATTTTTTTATTCTTAATTACGAAATTCCATGTCTCTTTAGTTTGTATTATCTTAATCATGAATTAATTTAAAAAAATGATAAACAAATACCAATAAATATGCACGCATTTATTTTGGACATGCACGTCTTTATTGACAGTAACCTTACCCCATAACTTTTCCTCTAACTTTTCTTCTTCCTAAAGAAACCACGTTATCTTTTGGGAAGTTTGTGTAAGCCCTCAGTCGTACAGGGATTAGTCAAAGCAAAGGAAGGTTTCTCACCCATCATTTGTACTTCTTAGCAAGTTTTCCCAAAAACTTGCTTGGGAAAACTTGCTAAGAAGTACAGATGATGGGTGAGAAACCTTCCTTTGCTTTCACGTTATCTTTTGTATATTTGTCAGGAAGAGACTTGTGAGTCTCTATTTCACTCTTTAGGCTGAGAACTGATTGGCTGAGTAAGGGTGGTCTTCTCTTTTTCACTTCTCTGTCTGAAGAAGCGCAAATCTGGTTTGGGGGAAACCAGTCCACAGGTGCCGGAAAGAGACAGGATTCAGAGGTCCCATCACCATGCCATGAAACGGACAATGGGACAGCAGGTTAATAGCAATGAACAGACAGCTAAAGTAGGAAAGAGGAGATAGCGCTAAAATTACAATCCTTCTCCTAGCTTTGTGCAATCCATATGCAACTCAATACAAGGTTACAATTACATTTGTAATCAGGAACACTTATTAATAAACAACAATTTAGTTTCTCTGTCTATTAAGTGTCTGTATCTTTTTGAGTTATGAACCAAAATAGGCATAATCTCACAATAATAAACATTAGGATCTGTGTCATTAGAAATCGTTAAATCCAATCTGATTGAGAGGACCAAGATGTCAAAATTTCAAATGCTTAAGATGAGATAAACTTTATTGATCTCACAATGGAGAAGTTTACAATAATTATAACTTGATATGTATTAAAAAAATGTCAGTATATTTTGCCAGAGACACCAGTGCTTATTTGAGGTCTTACATAAATGACATGTAAACTAGCTAGCAGCATTTTGTCAGAGAAACCCTGGATTCAAATGTTGACTTGGTTGAGCATTTCAGATCAATACCAGTGGGTCTCCTGGGGGGCCTGCCATCAAACCGAATACATCTGCCGTCACCATTCTGACTTAGGCGACATTAAACGCTGTGTGTGTAAAGCGTTCATTAAAAGTGACTGCTCTGACAGCGCTTATGATGGAAAAGTTAAGATGGAAGTGCCTTTAACTGCCTTTGAGCCCTGTCCCCCGGTACATTTAGTCAATTCATCTCAATATTTGTGTTCGCTAATGAGCAGCACTCTTCATTCTGGGGACAGTTCCAGTTCAAAAGCTTCAATTTTGTAAATATATGTCACCTGCCTGTAAGGCTACAACAACAGATTTTAAGGCCTAAAACTGTACAATGAAGCCCCGCTCACCAGACGCGCAATCTCTAGTTTTCAG